GAGCCGGCGGTTTGAACGGTTGAACCGGTTAAACCGGTTAAACCGGGAACCGGAGGCCAAAACGGTTTGACCTCCGGTTCGGTTTTTAAAACTTTAATACACCCCACTGTCTATGACATTTTGCCTACTCTTAATAGCAAATTGCAAAGTTACAAAGGAATACATAAAAGAGGGTGAAAATGCATATATTGTGAGGTTCATGGGCCTATCTTCTTTAAAAAAAATTCAAGAGCTCAATTGAGAATACAAAATTAGTTCAGGAACTTCATAGGATTTTGCCAATGCCAAATTTAATTCTTAAACATTTAATTTTGATTAATTTGTCTTTAAATTATTTTTAAAATTTTTTTCATCTTTCAACCATATAAAAATGAAAAACTAGTTTGTAGCCAGTATTGCAAATTTTTGGACGGACGGGATAACAAAATAGCATCATTTAGTGTTAAAGTTCAGTAACCCCAGCTTTTGTCTCTCCTTGACTTCCCTTTGTTTCAAAAATTCACAAACCCTACATGCGAATACTCTCTCCAAATTCTTCATTTTTGCATCAATAACCTTATCCTCTTTTCTTCTTTGATTTCCCTCTATTTCTCTTTATTTAGAAACCTTATATTCTATCTTTGATTTCCCAAACTTGAGTCTACTCTTCTTCAATTTCCCCTTTATAAAATCTCTACTGGAAGTCATTGAAAACTTTAGAGAGTAAAGGAAGAACAACTGGAAACATAAAAAGAAAACATAAATTAGAGTAAAAGAAGAGCCAAATTAACAGAAAAATATTACAACTCTTTTTGTTACATATGCTCCACCATGCTTCTTATTTTGGTCCAAAACTTTGCATTTTTCTTTTCTTTTTCTTTTTTTTTTTTCAAATAATAGTGATCAATTGGGAACATTTGGGATAAGGCAGCCTCTTATAGAGAAATCATAGCTATTCAAGATGAAGAGAGAACAAGATGAAAGAAATTGATCAAAAAGAACCAAAGTAGCAATCAAACCACTGGGAAATCATGGTGATGGAAGGAAGAACAAGATGAAGGAAAATTTAACAAACTTCAAAGACAATGAGCAAAAAGCACCTAACAATGGAAAAGGGAAATCACAGATGAAGAAAAAAATTGCTTATGAAGAATAGACATCAATTGGGGTTAGGGATTATGCTTGACAAAAGGGATGGAGTAAGAAATGGAGGAAAATAAAGAATAGAGGGTTAAACATTGAAATAACATCGTTTTAGTAATCTTGTCCGTCTAAAAATTAACAATACCGGTTACAAACCAATTTTTTGATATAAAAATATACTTTGTTATATGTTTTATGAATATTTTTTTGTCTCTAAACTATTGTTTCTTATATATTTTTAGTCTTAAACTTTTACATTATGCATATCAAATCTAAAAAAAAAAAGTTAAAAAAGTACTTATAAGATAGAATTAAAAGATAAAGCTACCAAAAATATAAAAATACCGGTTACAAACCAATTTTTTGATATAAAAATATACTTTGTTATATGTTTTATGAATATTTTTTTGTCTCTAAACTATTGTTTCTTATATA